TTTGGAAGAAGGTAAGAGAGACTAATAAATTTCTTTATTTTCATTAAAATCTAGCAAAGCACACTTTTTCCCCCTTGAAGAGGTTTACTCTTCTCCTTACCTTTAATTTTTAGTTTTCACTTTAGCTATTTGTAATTTTGATACATGTTATTACAATTTTCAAGATTTCTTGTTTTGCCCAGAAAACAGAGAAGCATTTCCTCACTTACTACATTCAATGTGTGTACAAAAGCAAAAACATTCTTCTCACACTGTTTTTTTCCTTAAATATTTCACTGAAGTGTGCTAACTTTATCATATAATGATGTTAATAGTTTTCATCTTTGTTTGAGATAGCCACATTTTCAAGATCATAAATTCCTTAGTTTTTATGAGAACTTATTTCTTTCCTTAAAAAATGTTTCTTTTTTTAAAGTTTATTCCTTCAAAGCCACAGAGAGTGAGAAATGTACTTCTGAAAGACAAGTTTGAAGTTGCCAAAATAATAACCAGAGAAAAAGACCATCAGGGAAGCTGTAATTAAGTTCAAATGCAGCAAAACGCAAATTTACTAAATTACAAAAGAAAAGGATAAAATAATTGAAAAATACACGCGTAGCACCAACATAAAACATCAAGAAAGGAAGGAATGGAAATTATGCACAAATGGAAATTATGCAGAAATCAACAAATCTGTTTTTGAGTGGTGTCTTTCAAGCCTTTGCCAAAAATGTTCCCATTTCAGGACCTATCCTGCAATCAAAGGCAAAGGGAATGGTGACACTTTGAAAAGTTGATGGATTCTCTAACGGGTGGCTTCAGAGCCTCGAAAAGAAAAACATGGAATCACTTGCAATGTAGCGTGTGGGGAGTCAAACAAAATTGACAAACGTGTTGTTCAAAACTGGTGCACAAAATTAAAAGACATCATAAGTGGTTATGATCCTAAAGACATTGCAAACATGGATGAGCCTGCTCTATTTTACAAGATAATCCTAAGAGGACCCTTAAAATGCAGGGGGAGAAACGCTCATGGGGTCAGTTTTCGAAAGAGCGGCCTACTATTCTCTTGACCACGTTTGCAGATGGGACATTTGAAAAATCATGGGTAACTGGAAAGAGCCAGAAACCATGGTGCTTCAAAAATATTGAAATTAATTAGCTTTCAGTAGAATGGAAATGGAATAAAAAAAATTTGGATGACTGAAGCAATTTACAAAGAGTTATTAAATAAACTCAACAATAGCATGAAAAAACAAAATCAAAGCATTCTTTCATTTGTTGACAATGCTACTTGTCATCGGTCACTGCCTCTGTCCAATATTAATTGTTTTCCACCATCCACGACATTGGTCCTATAATCTCTGGATAATGGCTTTATCCAAAATATTAAAGTAAACTACAGGAAGCTATTTCTTCAAAAAGTGATCGCCAACATAGAGATGTGTAAGATGGCATCTGAAATTTCTTGGAAAATCTATGTCCTTGAGGCAATTTCATTTCTTAAGTGATCAATCAACATGATTAAGGAAGAAATCATGAGAAAGAATTGTGGTTTCTTATTTGGCAGTGGCAACAGTATACAAAACAAAACCGTTATCGGCCCAATAACATCATACAGATTCAAGCTGCAATAAATGACATTTATAGTGGTGTTTCAGAAAATAGGGTCAGTGCTGCATCTTACACTGATATTGACAAAGAAATTGCCACAGAAATGGACGATGTAAACCAGAGAGAAATCGCAGACTAGCAATCTAAAGACCACAACGATGGAGATGATGAGGAACTACCGTTAGAAGAGCCAGAGCGTTCAAGTCAAACACAAGTTACCAGCTACATAAAGGCTTTGAAGGAATTTGAAAAAGTTAAAGGAGGTCAAGAGTTTTTTGATAAGTAGAGTTAGAAATTTATTTCAATAATTTCATCAAAAAATCAAAACCAACTAAACAGTTGACATTAGATATTTTCATTAAAAAGTAAATTTTACCCATATCTTTGTTTGAATAGTATGCACGTATCTGTACACAATTTGAATAAACATGCAAATCATTGAAAATGGTTGAGTTTCTTTTCCAGTCCTATAAAATCACAAAGAAACACTTTCTGGGTGTTTATGAGCTAGGATTCTTAATAGACAATGATAGAAAAATGGTTTAAGACTGCACTCGGTCAACGGCAGAAAACTTACGAGACCCAGAAAAATAAGGCAGTCCTGTCGAGTTCTGGCTCTTCACAGGTTTCACTGTATCATAATAAATGACTACTAAGGCATAAGAATGTGCCTATATCTCCTCATCCATTTAACCAGCAACCCCCCCCCACACACACACACAAGAATTTTCAAACTAAGAAAATAGGAAAGAGTAATGTATCTAACATTCCAAAAGCTTGGTCTACTGCTATGCCGCTTAGCTCGCTTTAGACAGCAGGCAAGTTTTGAGAGTGGCACAAGAACATCAGTTTTAGCTCAAGTAGTAATTAGCTTCACGTGCTTTGCAATTCATTCATTCCACAAATATTTTTATGTTGTCTATTACAGGTAAGCTGAGGGCTACCACTTTAGAGAAAGAGTAGGAGGTAGTAGGGGGAAAACAAAACGAAACATAGGTTTGGATTCTGCCTTTCACCTATTAGCTGTCTCAACCCAAAATAAGTTATTAACCATTTCTGAAGGTCAATTTTCTAATCTATATGGACATAAGACCCTCTCACAAGACTGTTAGGAAGATTAAATGAGATACATATGCAAGGGCCCAGCACAATACCTACACACTGTACAATAAATATTTGTAAAATTGAACAAAGAAAAACAACGTTGACCTCAAGAAACTTAAAATCTATTAAAGGAAATAAGAGACAATTTAGTGCTACGTGGAAAGCAATACACTTCTTAACATAGATAAAATGTTCCAAGAATTCAATAAAGAAGCAACTATTTTCTGAATGGACCACTTTGTGAAGGGTCTGAAAGCATGGAGAGGATTTGGTCATGTAAAGATCACAGTATCAGGATTAGTTATTGTTAAATCAGCTCCAACTCATGGCAATCCCATGTGTGTCAGAGTAGAACTATGCTCTATAGAGTTTTCAATGGCTGATTTTTCAGGAGTAGATTGCCAGGCCTTTCTTCTGAGGTGCCTCTAGTTGGACTCACACTTCCAACCTTTGGTTAGTAGATGAGCACATTAAATGTTTGCACCATCCATGGATTCCATGGAGAGACTGGGAGAGAAAAAACAAAATGAGTAACATAAAAGTGGGAAAATCATTTTTCCCCCAAAATCATAACTGAGGAAAACACAGAGAATCAAAGAAAGAGTAAGTAGTTCCATTTGGCTAGAACAAAATCTATATGAAAGTTTAGGAAATTAAAAAGGTAAACTGCAATTAGGACTAGGTTGTAAATGGCCTTGAATGTTAAATTAAGACATTTCAAATAAAAGTGGGGTGTGATGTGCTCTGAGCTATGTGTTCTGGCAGAACTTCATAAAATACGTCAGAAGTTGGAAAGAGGAGACGTGGAGAGATCAGTTAAAAGGCTACTGCAGTAGTCCAGACAAGAAATACCAAAGACCTGAACCACAATACTGCCACCCATCTGTCAGTTTGTCATACTGCGGTGATTTGCGTGCTGCTCTGATGCTGGAAGCTATTTCACTGGAATTTCAAATACCAGCAGAGTCATCCATGGTGGACAGGTTTCAACAGAGCTTCCAGAGTAAGGGCTTCCAGACTAAGACGGACTAGGAAGAAAGGCCTAGTGATCTATTTCTGAAAATCAGTCAGTGAAAGCCATATGAATCACAACAGAACGGTGTCCAAATCATTTGCTTTGCACGAGTCATCAAGAGGGATCAATCGCTGAAGGAAGACATCATGTCTGGTGAAGTAGAGGGCCAATGAGGGCATGGGAGAACATCAGTGAGACTGACTGGCTCACTAGCTGGAACGATGGGCTCAAACATGCCAGCAATCATGAGGATGACATAGGACTGGGCAATATTTCATTCTGTTGTATATACAGTGGGTATGAGTCAGCATCGACTCAATGGCAGCTATCTATCCAAACTACAATAAGGGCAATGGAACAAGTGAGGAGGGGCTCATATGAGAGATTTAACTGTAGCAGTTAAACAGAATTGGTTGTTGGAAGCAAAGTAGAGTAGGTACTAGATGATCTAGATGACTGGGAGGATGAAGGTATTGTTAAGGTAAATGGGGCAAAACATCAACTAATGCAACAAGAAAGACAAGACAGCAAGAACTTCTCCATTACAGTAAAATTCAAACTTGATTTCACTTGTATGCATGTACATATGTAGATGAGACAAATATATGTACATTATATCCATATATGTGCACACTTCTGTATTTTTGCAGAAAGAATTATACACAGATACACTACATGTAGTTATAACTGGTATCTTGGTATTTTTGAAAACTTGTCAGTAAAGTATGATTTTTTAAAAACATATGTAATAAAATATAACAAATACAGGTAGTCCCCGACTTACAACTGAGTTCCGTTCTGACTCCATCCTAAGTCAGTTCTGACGTAAGTCGAATACTTCATTTTTTTTTTTTTTTTGGTTTTCATTATTATTGCCTTTTATTGTAAGTATTTTTATAAATCCTATCTTTATTTGTCCTTGGGGGTTGGCATGAGAATGATAACACCAGCAAATAAAATGCTGCAACACTGTAGGTAGTACATATTACTAACGATAAGATGTATAAACAAACAAGAAAAACCAGATGGTCATAAGTGCCGTTTGCCGTAACTTGAATACGTCCTAAGTGGGGGACTGCCTGTACTTATCAGTGACGTCTGTTTTAGAAGAACAATATGCTTAGCAAAGGTAGTTTCTCTAAAGATCATCATGTTCCATTCTATTCAACTATGACACAAAGGACTAATTTTACTATTCATTATGGGAAAATCTCCTTAAATAACAATAGGGGATGCAATAAAAAGAGTGTTTTAAAAGTTCAAACCATTCTTCTTAGTTTACACTTACCCTCTGTAACTCCCATTTCTCAATAAGGTGTTCCACTTCACCGCCAAGAACTGTGGTATTAGAGTCATTCAAGAGCAGGAATCCGTTTTTTATGTCAATGATGCCTGAGAGCTTAACTTTAGTTCCAGGTGGTGTGTTCAGGCTAAAGCAAAGAAGAAAGAGTTAAAAACATGTTGAAGCTCCTCCATAAAACTGGAATTCAGTTTCATATTTAAAATGTACTAACAGCAAAACTGTTTTTCAGGAGACTAGCTATAGCGTGAATAGATCGTCTGAGAGGGAGTCAGAAGAACCACATACCAAGCTGTCACTTTCTAGCTAAATGATAAAGAAATGAGCTTCAGTTTACAAATGTTTAAAAAAATGTGAATAATAATTACACTTTAAAGACAGACAGAATAAAAGGCAGAAATGTACAATTTATGATATTTCCTCGAAGCTTTGACTGTGCATTGTGAAGATATACCCATGTTGCAAAATGAACTTTTGATTTAAAAACGATGTATGATACATGAGCTACAGTAATCCACACAAAATAATACTCTTTAAAAAAAAAAATCTAGTTAAAGGTCAAGTGAGTTTTTTACTCTAAAGTCCACTAATTTTAAAAGGAATTTTCCACAACAGGCTAAAAGTCACAGATTTAGGACAAACATTACACTCATAATTTCTTTTACAAAAAGCAAATTTACTCTTTAAACTTTGAATCGAAATTATACTCCCAGAGGCCACATTTAAGCTAAACAACAGATTGGCTCATAAAATAAAGAATATCACCTGTAAGTACTGTGCTCCTTTAAAAATTCCTCTAGATGAGACCAAGTGGTCAACATTTCCTCTAAAGCAAAGATAAGAAGGTAAGGGGGACAGGTAAACTAGATTACTAGAAACAGAACAACTAGAACTGAAACAATGAAGCTGTTGACACATTGTGAAAAATGTAACCAATGACACTAAACACTAAATTGTTAAATGGGAAACTAATTTGCTGTGCAAACTTGCACCAAAAACACAATAAAATATTATTTAAAAAAAAAAAAAGTTTATCCTCCTAAAAAATTTCTGGCGAAGGAACAATGGAGGAAATCCATTTTATTATATAGTTCTATTCTAAAATAAAAGCACATACACCAACCCCATTCCATCTCCTTCCACAAACACCTAGGGTCCAAATAAGAATAAAGTTTGCCCTAAAACACTTAGGATAAACTAAAACTCCATGCAGAAATGCCTTGCCATTGTTCACATTTTAAAAGTTCATGAAATTTACCATGCGCTGATATATGCAAAAGAAAACGAGTGAAAGCATTATACCCATCTATTTTGAGGTAAGATGATTGATACAATACATATTAACAAGAAGAAACAGAGTATGCTCGTTTTTAAAGCTTCAAAGGCCCCACACATGGTAAAACACATTACCTAATAAAATTATTCTGAGGACCCATGTTTTATTATTCTTAGTCATCACATACAATTTATATAACAAATGAGTATGAACAGCCTTGCCTAATCTAATCCTTAAGTAAAGGGTTCTGTGATGGTAAATGTAGTAAATTTAGGGCAATGTCTATCAGACTTCAGTGTCAGCAACAACTGAATACAGTTACACTAAGTGTAGATGTTTCTCCCAATTCAACACAATCAGGAGATAGAGATTTTTATAACTCTGTAGTCATCGTTTAGGGATCTATCAAAAAGACAAGCATGGAGGGTCCCAGGCAGCTGCACTCCTTGCCTCTAAAGAAATTACTAATGAATTATATCATTTACATAAGACCTATATTTGCTCCTCAAAACCACTTTTACCTAATATTCTTACAAACTGATAAAATTAGAAAATGCAATGAAAATGGAGGAATACATTAAATTAGCAATATAAGAAACTACGTAAGACCTTAAAGAGTTGGATGCAAATTATTGGGGCATTTAAATTGTGGTAATGTAACTTTAACAATAAAAGCTATTCTGGAGGCAGAAGATTAATTTTTGTGTAAAATGACTGTAGCTTCCCTAAATTCTCACTAATAATTAAAGGGGAAAAAGATGTGAAATTATCTCACAATGGACCAGCAATTTCATTAGGACAATTGATGGAGTGTCGCCAGACTATATATATAGTTCTATTTCCACAATGGGATACTAGCTAGAATTTTAATTAATTTTTACTACATCACTTTCAAGACCATAATTAACTCCTATTCAGAGAGCATATTTTGGTTTAATTGCTATTTTTATTGGTACTCTAAGGTACCTTTACTGTCCCTTCTTTGCAATTAAAAAAAAAAAAAATGCAGTGAGAGATGAGACAGAAGGAAGGATGGCAAAAAGCACCTTGAGTGCCCAGTTGAGGCAACACATCCCATCCAGCTCCTGGTTCGTCTTTTCTTGTAAGTTCCACCACCTTCCTTCTAAGACAACCACTAATCAAGCTTATTCTGAGAACGGTCTCCCAAACTGTTCACATGTAGGAGCAGTTTTGTAAGCTGTCATTTTTATGACAACAAAACACAGACATGCTGCTTTAATGATGAGAATGGGCATGTGGCAATAAGTTCAACAAAATGGGACAGTGGACAGCACAGGGCAAGATCCTCCAGTCTGGGCTGATCTTGTGTTTTCGTTTACCTCAGAGAAATACACAGCAGTAAAATCAAAGAATGAGCCAATATATGGCAAGTCTTCCTTCTGAATCATCTGTAAATGCCCTTGTAGGGAATCTGACTGAATTTGTCAAAGGAGGAAAGGCTGTGTTTCTCCACAAAAGTAGGAATCCTTTTACTCTTCAAAAAGAAGACAACATAATCACAAAGACAATAAACCCCCTTTGTATATGGAAATCAACATTTTACACAACCATATATTATGCCTTCTAAGGAAGGGGTCTCCCTTATAGAGGCAGGCATTCATTCACTGGTTGAAGAAAATAAAGAAGGAAAATCACATTTCCTCCCACATACCACCATCCCAAATCACTTAAACTCCACCAAATGGAACTTCTCACTGATCTCTAATCATCAAAGTTCTTGTCAGGTCACTTTATCTTTGCCCATGCTGAACCCCTTTCCCATCTTTCTCAAAAGACCTACTCATACTTTAAGTTCCATTTACCGCTCCCCCAAGTAAAGATAATTTTATGGACTCCTATTCCACTCAGTTGATATATTTATGATAATAATTTGTATGCCTCTGTGTAGAATATAGGCTACTAGAGGACAAAGTCTAAACCTTATTTACCTTTGCATTTCCAACACCTAATAAAGAGGCTGGAACATAGTAGATGCTAAATGCTTATTAAATGCTTGCTCAAGAGAGAAGTATGGTCTAGAAGTTTACATCAAATGAAAAAGGTCAGACGACTCAGAGCAGCAAACATGAGCACATAAAATGACTAAGAAGAAAGAAAAACGGGAGGGGAGGGCTTACAAATGAAAGTTTCTACCTCAGAAGGAAGAGCTCAAACTGGCCTAATGGGAACGTTGAGGACAAAGGAGACACTTTCTTTCTCATTGTTTTTCTTCATTCCACTAGGCAAGACTCCGAAAGCCTCATAAAAATAGTCAAAAGGAGAACTTAGAAAATTGTTCCTTACGGAGGTCCTCCTCATGTTAGAAAAGTGGGGGCACATGAACTTCCCCAGATTTAATCATTTCCTAAGAAAACTCATTAGCCTAAGTAGCATGATGGACACAGTTACCACACTGTCAAAAAAGAAACCGTAACATGTTTACAAAATTGCTTGTTCTGGCCAACTGAATGCCTGAAATTTTCCATGGCAAACTGAAAAGATTACTTTTCATTCAAGAACATCTTAAATTTCTATTTTTATAATTAACATGAAAGGAAGGAATGACTTACTCCATTCTTAACTATTTTTCTATATAGACCAAGGAGAAATGCAAAGTTCTATTTCTTCTGAAAAATTACAACATGCATTTAAGAGTTCATTCTTTCTATTCAAAATACTTAAAAAGAAATCCATTTTGAATAGCACTTTCCAACACTCTGTAACAATCATACAAAATAAAGTGCCAATCACCTTATTTTTGACATATAATTGAATTCTACTGCTGTGCAACTTATATGACCATCGGTCATCTGTAAACGCAGCATTCTTGGCGCAGCCTGAGATTCTTCATTATCCTTTGGTGCAGCAACATTGCGAATTTTTTGAATCTGCAGAACACATGGACCTTCAAGCTGTCAAAACACAAAAGAATAAAAATCACTTTTTAGTCAAGTCATTCATTTATTGTGTTTTTCCTTTCCTTAACGTTCAAGCCTTATGATTTATAATGGTAATTTCAATTAAATAAATAAGGTCAAAACTGAAATTATAGACATCAGGGTTTTTTTGTTTTTTTGTTTTTTCCCTTTGGTATTTAAAGATAGAACTGCCTTCAAAAGGGTCTCCAAAATAGCCATTTTTTTTTTATAATCTCAAATTCATTTTCAGAAAGTAACAAAAGAAAACCCTAGGAGGGAAAAAGTTATATTCCTAAATTAAAAGAATATTAACAAATATTTTTAGCCTCATGTGCTTTAAATTGTTTACATGCACTACACACTCCTTTTCTTCCCCTCCCCCACCATGTACATTAAGGGACATCTGGAGTTAAAGAACATCATTTTAAGGGACATCAACTTTACTGCAGCAGTTCAAAGGAATGTTTTTTGTTTGAAACCATAAAGTTTAAAGTACATCCTCTTCTGGCATAAATGAAGAATATAATATCCAAGATTTAAACTATGTAGAGTTCAAGAAGTGTGAGCTGTATTTGACTCATTTCCACATTTTCTTTTTAAATGATTTTAAATCTAAAACCATATTACGTATGTTAGCATCAGGAAGAAGAATCGTTCTCTCTGGTCACATTTCAAAGACAAAAATAAAATTGATGAAAAAATTAGCTATGAAGTTATAAGTTTTATATACTAAAATACTTATGGCATAGTTGGGAAATGGCAGAAAAATCTGCTTACATCTTTGAAAAATGAGTTTAACATACAGTGTTACTTTCCACCTTATAAAGTATTATGCCTTTAAGTAGTATCATACCTATAATACAGAAAAAAGGGCTAGTTTTTTGTTATAAATAGTCTTCTAAGAAAAAATTTTCAGTGCACATTAAATTAGTTTACATTTTCAGTAACGAGAAATATAAAACAATTGACAAACTTTTATACATATTTTCTGAGTAAGCATGTCCCCAAGCTGAAAAATTTCTACTCCACATTTACCAGTATTTTGCCTACAAAGGAATAATTTTGTTATAAAATTGGGCCTAGAGAATATAATGAGAAAACACATTAAAATGTCATCTAACTTTTCATTTGAAAACAATTTCCAAGTTGAAAAAACACCAAAACCTTTAATAAACATAGATAAGCTGCTTGTTCAGGATGAACTTTTACTATTGTTAATGTCATTAAAATAAAGACATTTAAATTAAATAACAGGCAGGTTATGGTTATTACAGTGTTCATCTTTCCCTTTATTTTACTACTCCCAATACTTTTAGCATAGTCACTGACAAATATCTAGCCTGCACTGTCCAAGATAGTCCACTAGCCATATGTGGCTATTTATATTTATGTTTGAATTATTAAAATTAAATGAAATTAAAAATTCAGTTCCTTAGTAGCACTAGACATATTGCAAGTTCTATATCTGGACAACATGGATAAAGATATTTTCATCACCACAGAAAGTTCTATTTGACAGTCAGGGATGACCTACACCTATCTAGACCAGTGTTCCAAAGTGAGACACATACATCCTGGGGAGTGCACACCCATAGAAGTGTGGGAGGAAAACATGTGCTTCTATTTAATTGTTCATAAGAAAGTAATTAAGCTTTACTAATATTTAATATGCAGAGCAACAAGCATCCTCATACAGGTCACATGGCATCTTTATGGAATTTCAGGCAATCTCTACATGGGGGGAAGGGTTGACATGACACCCTCACTGGTCTGTTCAATTTCAGTGTGTTCTGGCAAGCTTCCCTTCATTTACGCCTAGTTAAATGGATTTATGGGTTATATTACCTAGTTTTAACCATTAATGCTCACAAAATGGGCAAGTAGCTTTCAAAGATTCTGCCAAAGAAACACACATTAAAAATAATGCCCTGCTCTGACAGGGTTCAAAATAGAGGGTCCTGGCTAGAGCTGGAAAAGGATGTAGAAAATTCTAACTCAAAAACAAGACCAGATTTACTGGCCTGACAGAGACTGGAGAAACCCCAAGAGTATGGCCCCCGGACACCCTTTTAGCTCAGTGGGGAAGTCACTCCCGAAGTTCACCGTTCAGCCAGAGATTGGACAGCTTCATAAAACAAAAAGGGACTAATGAGGCACAACAGTCCAGGGACGAGGACTAGAAGGCAGGAGGGGACAGGAAAGCTGGTGATAGGGAACTCAAGGTTGAGAAGGGACAGTGTTGACATGTCATGGGGTTGTTAACCATTGTCATAGGGCAATATGTGTACTAACTGTTTAATGAGAAACTATTTGTTCTACAAACCTTCATCTAAGGTATAAAAAAAAAAAGAATTATCTATGTGAAATCAAATTGACAACAGCAACTCAAAAGGTTTGATGGGAAGCCTAGGGGGCAGTGAGTTGAAGATAATGGTGATGGAATAATTTGGAAAAGGATAGTGAGAATAGCAGCACAACTGGAAGAATGTAATTGATGTCACTAAATTGTACATGTAGAAACTTTTGAAATGGTGTAACTTTGGCTATGTATATTTTCATCAAAAAAAAAGGTCCTCCAAGGTCAAGAAAGGAGAGTGCTGACATGTCATAGGGTTGTTAACCAATGTCATAAAACGATATGTGTACTGACTGTTTAATGAGAAACTATTTGTTCTGTAAACCTTCATCTAATGTACAATAAAAGAAACTAAAAAATAAAATAATACCCATAATGCAAACACAGGGTGGGAACAGAATGGTTTTGTTGAGCTCCTACAGCTAGGAATGATTCATGAAAGCTGCCTTGAAAGAAGAAATGGTGATTTCTACCTACAGCTGCTTAAAAGCCTGAAGTATAAGCTTTAAATAGCATTTATGATGCTACTCACTTCTTTGTCCTGTCAAAACAACTCTTAACATCATTTTAACACAATTTGACTTTAATAAACATGAGGATGGAGGCAGGCAGGAAGAGAGAAGGAACACAAGTATGATTTGTCACACCCAGTACTACCCTAAATATGGTATCAGACCCAAGAAAACTAGAATCAAAGAGAACTTTCTATATAATCTGTTAGAAATTTCAGAAACATTCCACGTGTCCTCCATGCGGAATCTATAGTAGCCCTCTACTGGAGGACATTTTCCTCTAGGGAAGACCTATGTTTGCTTTTGACAGTAGGAACATGCAACTGACAGCCTCAGTTCTGGGCTTGTGGAAAAGTGAGAAAGATGACCTTAGCCAAACTTTAACCTCACTAGCACCCCCACTAGCTCCAGGCAGAACCAAACACATATACCTTCTAGAAGAAAGCATTCCTGATTCAGGTGCCCAGGATTCCCACACAGAAAGATAAAAAAACATACACTCACAGGAAAATATGAGATTCGCAAGGAAACAAGCCACAATAAATGAGATTCATAAAAAAGTTATTTTAAAATATTTTGGGTCTCTAAAGGCTTAAGCATTTAGAATTACCAAGTACAGATTATAAAATAATAAAAATCTAGAGAATTTGTATAGAACCCTGAACCTAACAACTAGGGGATGGAGATTCTTCTCAAGCAAACATGCAACATTTACAAATGCATATCAAGCCATACGACAAGCCTCTACAGAACACACTTATCATCTAGTCCATATTCTCTGACCACACTGTAACTGAAGTAGAAATCTGTAACCAAAAGCAAACAAAAAACTATAAAATTTTAGAATTAAAATAGGCAAATGAAGAAATCACAACAGAAACTGAAAAATACCTAAAACTGAATGATGATCAAAACACCATATATAAAAACCTTTGCAATATAATTAAAGTAGTGCTTACAGAAAAATTAATGGCATAAGACGCTTGTATTAGAAAAGGAGGAGAAAAAATAATGAGTTCAACTAACAAGTTGGAAAAAGAACAACAAAATGAGTTCAAATAAGGTGAAAGAAAATGATAATAAGGATAAATGAACGAAATAGCAAGCCAAAAAATTCACTAACGATGATCAACAAAGCCTACAGCTGGTTATTCATAAAGACTAATGAAACTGAAACCTGACAAGACTGATCAAGATCCAAAGAGTAAAGGCAGAAATCAACAACAATTAAAGGAGTGATTAAAAAAAAAGAAGACATAAACATAGGTGCAACAGTGATGAAAAATACACAATAAAAGACAACTATTCACAACGACCTAATGCCCATCGATTAGTGACTGGATAGACAAAATGTCATAAACACATACAATGAAAACCATTCAGCAATGAAAAGGAGCTACTGACACATGCTACGTTATGGATTAGCCTCAAAAACACTATGCTAAGCAGTAGAAACAAGGTACAGGAGACCACAGATTGTACATTTCCATTCATATGAAATGTCAAGAAAAAGCAAGTTTACAGAGATGAAAAACAGAGACAGGTTGCTCGGGGTTAGGGGTAGGAACAGGGATGAACTGTAAATGGGCATGAACAATCTTACTGGTAGGACAAAAAAATGTTCCAAATCTGATTTATGGTGAGGGTAACAACACATGGTAAAGTATTAAAAATCCTTGACTTATACACTTGAAATGAGTTAGTAAGATACGTAAAATACATTACAATAAAGTTGTTCTAAAAAGAAACTATGTACAACTTTATATCAATTTGAGAATTTAGATAAAATATACAAGTTCCTAGAAAAATATCTGCCATAGCATGGGTTCTCTAAAGGAGCAAACCAGTGAAGTATATACATAAATATATATACCCAAAAACACCAAACCCTTTGCCATCAAGTCGATTACAACTCACAGTGGTCAGAGTATAGGTCAGAGTAGAACTGCCCCATAGGGTTACCAAGTAGCAGCTGGTGGATTCAAACTGCCAACCTTTTGGTTAGCAGCCATAGCTCTTAACCACTGTGCCACCAGGGCTCCATAACTATAGAGAGAGATATTTCAAGGAAATGGCTCACACAGCTGTGAAGGCTTGCAAAGTTCCAAATCCATGGGTCAGGCATC